CTATAATCACCAAGTGTTGATTATCAACAATTGTCAACGAAAAATTAAATTTAACAATTATATACTGCAGAAATTGTCTTGTAGGCAATTTTATGATTTTTTAAAACATACTTCCCCATGTGTCACTTTAAAAATCTATTACCCAAAAATGGTGGGAGAGACCACCCTGAATTTGTTTAACAGTGAATGAAAAGAAACTGTCATGCAACATCATTGCCTTTTAGAAAAAAATCACTATTCGGAAAAAAAAATCTGCTTTTTTCAATTTTCTTAAACCGTAAAAATTTTCATGAAAGAGTTTTTCAGATCATGGAATGCTGAGATAATTTCCTTACGATTTCAATGTTTTTACTATGTATAAGCTAAAATTAAATTTTCTGGGAAGTTAGTTGTATAATCATAACTCAGAAACGCATTTGAAAAAAAATCATTGCTCAGAAAGTGTGTTTTTCCTGCTTTTCTTTGTGATTTCATCGTGAATATGTTTCCTTATAATTTTACTATAAAACATTTAATCTACAATGAGTTATGTATCTTCGAAGTATTAAACTAAAGGTTTTCCGGAAAAATTACCACCCTAAATTTGAATTTTTGTTTCGTTCATATGATCATAAACTACACCTCTGAGCAAAATTTCAAAGTATTCTGAGAACCTTCGGCACAAACCTGTCGGATAATAATAATAATAATAAAAGTCCCATTATTGTTTAATTAAATTTTGTTTTGTATTTCCGCACAGTGGTATATTTATACATTTTGAATGCATCACTTAAACTGATTAAGTAGTAGTAGTGAAGTTGGAACTATGGGTCTAACATGGGTCCATCAATATAAAATAAGTTGTTTGTTTATTAATTGCACAGCAAAAAATAAATTTTAATATTACATTCAAGAGGATGCACTTCAATCATGTCGAAAATCTCATGTAATTTTTATGGCCACAAAAATAAACAAATGCAGTAAAAGCAACGTAATGTCAGTTCATGCACTGTATTAATGATAATTTTGTCCTTTTTGGCTAGTAATATTACACCATATTTTTGACACGATTGAAGTGCATCCACTTTGATGTGATATCAAAATTAATTTTTTGCTGTGTGTAACCATCAATTTTTACAAACAATATGTTTTATAGATTTTGAATGAAAAAAGGGTTTATAACTATTTTTTGATACCGTCATCGAACCAGCAACTAAGATTTCAGAAACTTATCTATTTGAATTGTGGGCGTGTGGTTTCTTTTAGTATAAGAACAGCTGTATGGGAAATTACTGGATGCACTGTATATTTTATCCAGTTGGTAATCGACGTTTTTAAACGATTTTTTCTTCTTTAAGATGCAAAATTTTGGGTTGAAAATAATAAGACACTATATTTGACACAAATGAATCAATAAATTGATGAACATCCAAAGTGTTTCAAAAAATTTCCTGCACGTCTAACTTTTTAGATGTAAAGTTTCTTTTATTTGTTTAGGGTGATTGCTTTCTAATTCCAAAGGGTTCAGTCGTTGCGATTATCTAAGGTGTAATATATCTGGTCACGTTGTCCTGTGGATGGGAAGTAAAGCCGTTGGTCTCGATCGATGTGTGCGATAAGTCCATGGTTTCAATATATAGGGTTCAGGTGTGGCGGCGATGACTGGCACTCGCTTGCGGAACAGATACCGCCGAAAACAAACAAGAATACAGTTCCTTTGGTTATCCTTGGATTAACTTATTCCCTGAAGAGGAATTGGTAGGTTTTTAAACTGATTTCCGCTCAAGCAGAACCCGCACATAACTTCTCTTTTTTAAACGGGTTTGTTCAAACAAATGTAATGTTTCTACTAATGTAAGGATGATTGCTTATTTACAAACATTTCTCAATTCTCAACTGACTTTTTAAAATTCTTTTTATGATTTGTAATGGCTTACGCCAGTTTATTTCGTATGAAAATGTTGAGTCGGACGAAATTATTGCGCATTTTCACCACTCTTACACAAAAAATAATTGCACAGAACTATTTTTCACAGACCTGAAAATTGACAAATCAACTTATTTGAAAGCAGCACTACTACAGTACCAAATACGTTTGTTTCTAAAATGGTTCGATTACAGATTTCACACTTCATGTGAGTCCTGTGTACTTATTTTTAGCGAGGACGCAAATAAGGTGTGAAATCTGCAATTTAATCATTTTCGAAAAACATATGTGGTACCGCTGGTGGCTCTTATTTGTACAGAACTAGCCTACCAAATATGTTTATCTTTGCTTGGTTTAAAACCGACTAATTTACCAAAGTGTTCAAATATCCATACATCATGCTATCAGTAATTGTAAAAATAACACTGTTCAAATGTATTGCACATAAAATCACACTACTGTTCAAAACAGATGGATCGAACGGCGCCGGTGGTGTGGTGGTAAGCGTGATTACCTCTCACCCCAGAAGGCCTGGGTTCAATCCCAGTCGGCGCCACCGGGATGTTCTGAGGCATAACATCTCTGATCACGCCTTCCTTCGGATGGGAAGTAAAGCCGTTGGTCCCCGGTTCATGAGTTGATGGGTCGATAGGTAGGGTCCAGGTGTGAGAGCTGCCTTCCTGTCACGTCGGTAGCATTGGTGCTCAGCACGGAAAACAAGATCGACAAAAAAACAAACCAAAGGAAAAAAAAAAACAGATGGATTTACATTGTTTTGCATTTTAATGCAATGTGATGGCTTGTTCTGCAAGGTAAACATCGAATAAAAGAATTATGACTTTTTCTTTATCAACCAGCCTCATATATTGTCCAGGTAAACCGAACGAAGACAATGGCACCTCAACAGTTCACGATTGAATCCTTAATCAGAACCATTAAAAAAAAAATATGTAAGCTCTACCCTCTGGCAGCTTTTTTTATATATTGGTCGATTTGTTTTCAGGATTAGTAAAGCAGAAGCTAATAATGTAGAATACTGTAGAATGTTTAATTATGATAGCCGGCGTCGGTGGTGTAGTGGTAAGCGTGACTGCTTTCTCACCCCAATGGGTCTGGGTTCAATCCCAGCCGAGGTCGGTGGGATTTTTCTGAGGCATACAAATCTCTGGTCACGTCTTCCTTGGCTTTACTTTCCTTCAGTGATCAGAGATTTTAAAGGGTGATACGGTCAAAATTTGGTCAAGGGAAAACGCGTGTAAATCGGTGAAATCGTTTATTTAAAAAATCAAATTAAATTTCTTTTTCAAGTTCAATTCGTATAAAATTCAGGGAAAATATTCAGTTAGGCTTCCGCTTTTCCAAATCCGAATTGCCGGGCCTTACGCTTGACCCCTGCCATCAGATTTTGTACAGCCACCTTGTTCACCTTCTTCGCCGCAGAAAGCCAGTTTGCCTTGAACTGCTGCTCGCCCTTAGCAGTTTTTTTGGTCTTCTTTAGGTTCCGCTTGACAATAGCCCAGTATTTCTCAATTGGGCGGAGCTCTGGCGTGTTGGGAGGGTTCTTGTCCTTGGGAACCACCTGCACGTTGTTGGCGGCGTACCACTCCATGGCCTTTTTACCGTAATGGCAAGATGCCAAATCCGGCCAAAACAGTACGGAACAACCGTGTTTCTTCAGGAAAGGCAGCAGACGTTTATTCAAACACTCTTTCACGTAAATTTCTTGGTTGACAGTCACGGAAGCTATGAAAATGCTGCTTTTCAAGCCACAGGTACAGATGGCTTGCCAAACCAGATATTTCTTTGCGAACTTTGACAGTTTCATGTGCTTGAAAACATCTGCTACCTTTCCGCTTCCTTTTGCCGTATAAAACTTCTGTCCCGGAAGCTGCTTGTAGTCGGCTTTGACGTAGGTTTCGTCGTCCATTACCACGCAGTCAAACTTCGTCAGCATCGTCGTGTACAGCCTCCGGGATCGCGCTTTGGCCGTCGTATTTTGTTTATCATCGCGATTTGGAGTCACTACCTTCTTGTAAGTCGATAGTCCGGCTCGTTTTTTGGCTCGATGCACGGTTGTAGACGATACACCCAGCTTATTTGCGGCATCTCGGAGAGAGGTTAGGGTTTCGCTTGAAACTACCGGCAACTCTCTTTGTCGTCTCAGCGGCTTCCGGTTTTCGATTTCCCCCCGATCCAGACTTCCTGGCTGTCGACAAACGTTCCCCAAACACTTTAATTACATTTGTAACGGTTGATTTGGCAACTTTTAGCGATTTTGCCAACTTTGCGTGCGAGTAGCTCGGATTTTCGCGATGCGCGAGCAAAATTTTGATACGCTGCTCTTCTTGCTTGGACGGCATTTTGACAACTGAAGAGTGAATTCCAAAATCAAAATAGGAGCAACATTCTACACACACACACCTTCAAAATGAGGGGTGTTCAGGTTTTTTAAATGCAAAATTGAAAGAAATACGTCAAGTTGATATTGACCAAATTTTGACCGTATCACCCTTTATGCCTCAGAAAATCCCGGCGGCACCGACTGGGATTGAACCCAGGCCCTTTGCGGTGAGAGGAAATAACACTTACCACTACATCACCTGCGCCACTACCTATAAAATTGCCAAAAACTGCTTAATACGGATCCTGGTAATTGGCATCACAATAACGTAGAAGACAGTATTATGATGCACTGATCTCAGTTATTCTTTTCAAAAAAGACGAACAATGAAATGCCGAATTTAAGATCTAAGCACCTAAGACTTGGAATTTGTTTCAAGTGCGTAGCAATATGTTAGCTAAGGATTTCTTACACAATGATCCATCTGAATAAAATAGCATGGAAAAATATTTTTGTCCATTCTGGGAATTTACTCTGCGGAAAAAAGCACAGAACATCAGTTTTCCACAACAGTTAATGGGGTGATATACTTTTGTCCGCAGAAACGGATAAAAGTTTATCACGTTGCCAATTTTTTTAAATGGATTCTCATCATTATGTCATTTGGGTCTTCTGATAGTATAACAGCATGTGTTCAATTAGTGTATATTAGTTTCATAACTCATTTTTGATATTTATTAATTTTTATTGCAGGGATCTCTGATATTGTTGCAATTTTACTATACTTCGTATCAATAGTACAAACTCGACCTAACGGTGGTTCCCCCGTTTCCTACTGGTACAATCCATGCCATCACAATAACAACCAAAAATACGAATTTACTCGGTATAGTGTGACTAAAGACGACATGACCAGGATCAAGGAGCAACTTAATACATCACTTGGTTCAGTCGAGGAGTCCGTGAAAAATTTTGTAAGTATACTCATCCCGTCAATTTTTTATGATAGCATAATGTACAGAGTGCGATTAAATTAAACAACATTTTGGTCTTCCTACACTACCGTCATAAATATGAGCTAGCATAGAAAAGTATTGTAACACTCATTTAAATATTGCATCACCACGAAAAGTTTAGCATCACTCAAATAAAATGTGTCAAAGTAATTGGAATTACTTTCGTAAGCAGTGATTCACGTTAGAAGTGTTTTGAATCATAATCAATTTAGTTTCGAAGTTCGAAATCACATAAAAAGTCCAAAATCGCTACACAGCAAAAAAATAATTTTGATATCACGTCAAAGTGGATGCACTACAATCATGTCGAAAATATGGTGTAAACTTGCTAAAAAGGACAAAATTATCATTAATACAATGCATGAACTGACATTACGCTGCTTTTACTTCATTTGTTTATTTATGTGGTCATAAAAATTACATGAAAGTTTCGACATGATTGTAGTGCATCCACTTTGATGTGATATCAAAATTATTTTTTTGCTGTGTACGGAAAGTACAGAATCACTTTAGAAATGATCAGAATCACTTCGAAAAGGACTGAATCGCTTCAGTTCGGAATTACTTCGGAAAGTATTGAATAATGTAAGAAATCACTGGATAACTTTGCAATCACTTCATAAAGGACTGAATCACTTCAGAAAAGTTTGGATTAACTTCGGAATGTACTGAGTCCCTTCATATATGTTTCCAATCACTTCTGAAAGTACAGAATCACTTCGTAATAAATGAAATCATTTTCGGAATCACTTCTGAAGGTACTGAAAATAGTCAATCATTGTAGAAATGTTCGGAGTCACTTTTGAAGGTACTGAATCACTTAGGAAATGTTTTGAATTATTTCAAAATATACTGAATCACTTCAGAAGTGTTTAAAATCACTTTGTAAAGTACTGATTCACTTCAGAAAAACATTGATTCTCTTTGAAAAATACTGAGTCAATCCAGAAAAGTTTGGAATCACTTCCGCAAGTACACTGAAAACGAATCTTACTCAAAGAGTGATTCGCTTTTACTCATTCGTATGGAGACATTTCTAAAAGTGTAGGTTACTCTACACAGCAAAAAATAATTTTGATATCACGTCAAAGTGGATGCACTACAATCATGTCGAAAATATGGTGTAATATTACTTGCTTAAAAGGACAAATGACTTCTAGCGAGGAAAAAATAACGGCTGTAGTATATCATTATATCAGTGATTTTGTGGAATTATCTTAAGGAAAAATACAAAACGTATCGCATGACAAATGTAATGCTCACTGCGTGTATATGATCATTTCTTCGGTTATATTTAATATTTAATTGCAATACCTTTCGTGGACCTTTCATAGCATCGTAATGCTTGTTTACTTTGCACGATAGGTAGCTGGTTTGACAGTTCAATAGGTAGACTTGGCTTCACTCTTGGCGTGACTCATTATACACCGACTCTAGGTTACTCATGCGCAGAGTGACCTACGCTTTTAGAAATGTCTCCATGCGAATGAGTAAAAGTGACTCACAACTGAGTAAAAGTAACTTAATCTCTGAGTTACTATCGGTTTCAGTGTACTGAATCAGATGAAACATATAAATAACATAGTGGCTTAACGTCAAATATCAGACGTCAGATGGTCATTTTATACGACAGATGAGAAGACGAAAGTTTACAGTTGATAGTTCCGTTAGAATATGGCAGTGTGAGAATTGTATATAGAGTGTAGAAAGCGAGCAAACGTAAATTTTGAGGAAGGCACAAATCGGGTTGATCAATAAATAAAGAAAATAAGTAAATTAATTAATACATATTATATGTAACATGTCACATGTGACATATGACATGTGAAATGTGAAATGTGAAATATGACATGTAACATGTAACATGTGAAATGAAAAATGTGACATGTGACTTGTAACATGTAGCATGTCAATTTATTTATAATTTTGATCCATAAATAGAAAACACTTGCAGCTTACAATGCAATGTAACATTAACCCAACTTTGTTACATATTACTTGTAACATATTACATGTCACATGTTACATGTAATCTGTAACAAAGTCGGATTAATTGGATTGTATTGGTGCTTACGTCAAAAAGTAATTAGGCTAAAAAACAAAGTTAAATGGGACGTTCTGCTATATTCGATCAGTACAGGATGATTCGGAGTTACTGTCACTTTAAAAAAAAATAACAATTGAACGCTTGTATGAATTTTTGATATCAGTATATTTCAGATATACTAGATGTATAACCTTCAACTTACCATACTTAAATTCAAATCTCACTCCTTTTAACGAAGATGTAGCATTTTAGGGCGACCAGCCATGTAGAAAATATGCTACAAGGGGATTTTGGTGCCATATTTGGTTCTTCATGCAACATAAACAAAGGTTAAACGTTTGTTAAACGCTAAATTAAGCATCACATTTGGACCCCCTCCTCCTTGTAGCGTATTCTTCTAAATGGCTGGTCACCCTAAAATGCTACGTCATTTATGCATCAATCACATTTGGCACGCAGGTTTCATCTGCAGCGCTTCTGAAAACCTAGCGATGCGTTTAAGCCCTGATAATGAACTTTATACCTATACAATGTTGCGAAAAATAAATGTTTCATTCACTCGAAGAGATTTCAGCGTCTAAAAGATAACACATTAATTTATACAAATTTATAACATCCTCCATTTTCACGCCCATGGCTGCTTGAAAACAAATTAATTTTGTAATCTTACTATCAATACAAGCTAACATTTGAACACACATTAAAACAAAAATACTTGAACATATATTCATTTTACTAATTAGGTTTTGCACCGTCGGGGTTAACTTCAATCTGATGACAGTTTAGTTGTACTGTTTACGTGGACTTAGTCGATTTTTTCTTGGGTGTGTTTTCTCGATAATTTTTCAGACTGCAGTGAGATTTTTTTTTCCCTTTGGTTTGTTTTTTCCGTCGATCTTGTTTTCCGTGCTGAGCACCAACGCTACCGACGTGCCAGGAAGGCAGCTCCCACACCTGGACCCTACCTATCGACCCATCAACTCATGAACCGGGGACCAACGGCTTTACTTCCCTTCCGAAGGAAGGCGTGATCAGAGATGTTATGCCTCAGAACTTCCCGGCGGCGCCGACTGGGATTGAACCCAGGCCTGCTGGGGTGAGAGGTAATCACGTTTAGCACTACACCACCGGCGCCGCTATATATATATACGATTTCGTGAGCTGTTCAAGCTAAACAATTTGAAGCTTCGAAAGATTTTCAAGATGTTTTCTTGCTCACTTGAAAAATTAAACCGACAGAGTTCGCAATACCCAGGATTTGAGTTCACTCTCTTGAAAAAAAGTGACACAACAATGGGGCCCTGTTTACTAAAAATGAACACATGAATAATACTAGCGTAACACTTGAAACGGGTCTATCAATTTTAGTACACAAAACTTGTTAAGTCCTTTTTTGCGCGAACCAAATACGCCTACGCAAACTAACAACACAATCGGGTTGGGAAAATTCTCCCCTTCCCGATAGTGCTTTTGGTTTGCGTGGGCGTACTTCGGTTCTTGTGAAAAGGACCTAGCAAATTGTTTTCAAAAGTTAATGGGCTCTTTTCAAATGTTACGCGAGCATTATTCATGTGTTCATTTTTAGTAAACAGGGCCCCGCTGTTGTGTCAATTTTGTTTTACAATATATGAACAAAAGTTCACCCGAGCACTCGTCTATGCTATAGGTTACCTGATGGTGTTGTTAGTTTGCGTGAGCGTATTCGGTTCGCGTGAAAAGGGCTCAACAAGTTTTGTGTACAAAAGTTAATAGCCCCGTTTCAAATGTTACGCGAGTATTATTCATGTGTTCATTTTTAGTAAACAGGGCCCCGCTTTTGTGTCACTTTTTGTCGAGTGATTGAACTCAAATCCATCCGTGCACTCGTCTATTATCATCGCGTGTACCGTGCGAATAGAGATAGTGATAAACTGTTTCAGTAAAATTCCCTCTTGGATCTAGTTTTATTCTATATTTGTCAAACACCACGTGTGTTTATAGTTATTTATAGTACGTTCAGACTACAGAGCTATAACATGTTATAGCGCTATCTTGATGGTGGTTTCTGTGTTTCAATTAGTTGACAACCGTTATAACATGTTGTTATATGGAGGTCTGGAAAGCGTTTCATAGTACGTTCAGACTACAGAGTTATAACATCAGTGCTAACATTTGAAAACGGCGCAAAAGCCATTTGTAAACAAATGGTTTGTGGGCCCTTTACTCGCTACCCGAAGAACGCCCACGCAAACCAACAGCATCGTCAGGAAGGGGAAAATTTCCCCTACCCGATGTTGCTGTTGTGTCGCGTGGGTGTACTTCAAGTAGTGAGTAAAGGGCCCACAAACCATTTGTTTACAAATGGCTTTTGTGCCGTTTTCAAATGTTAGCACTGACATGTTATAACGGTTGTCAAATAGTTGCAAAACAGAAACCACCCTCAAGATAGCGCTATAACATGTTACAACTCTGTAGTCTGAACAAGGCATTAGATCCATCTTGGATCAGCTATTAAGATTGGGTCTGGTTGTTTGCTGGAAAATGTCGTTTGATCGTTTGTTTTAAATTAGCACTGGTCAAGGTTTGTACTCATTTCTGACAAAAATTTCGGGTTCGCACGAGATGAAACTGGGCAATACAAACATTTTGGAATGTTTACGAATCATAAAATCATTGATTGTGACTTACTGAATACTAAATTGATAGATTGTATGAGTCAAACGCTTACTTTTGAACCTCTTCTTGTAACTAACATGTATACAATATCATGATTCCATAATTCCTAAAAAAAAATTAAAGCGAAGAGAGTTGAAACAAGCCGGCAACCCTAATAAAAATTGTATGGTTAATTTGCTTAACGACGTGTTCTGGGTATCATCCAAACTATTTGTGGAATAGTTTAATGATTTGGGTTATCGTTCGTTTATGGTTA